TAGGGAAAAAAAAAAGTGAATGTTGGGCATACCCGTGATGTGTTAGAGACATCATTACAAGAACAGTTGAAGAAATCCTCAAAAAATCCTTTTAATCTTCTTTTAGCCATAAAATGCTTTCATAATAATCAATGGCTTAACTAAATGTCTATAACTTAGTCTTCTAACTAAAATATCTATAATTACAGCTGTGCACAAAATGTCCAAAATTGGCAAAACCAATGAAAATTCTTTCCTTGCAGAAACTTTATCCAGAATTCAGGACTGGAAACACGTAAACAAACAGTATTTTCCAAATCTGGTAATCATCATTCTGTAAATAAGTAGGTGAAGAAATCTGTTTTCACCAGTGAAATAGTCTACCTGGCAATTTGTAATTGTAAGTAGTTGTAAACAGTTTTTCAACCTTCTCCTGTCTCCCTCTATCCAGGTAGTAAAAATGAACTTCAGCAATTCCTAATTTGGAGATGTTATTTTCAAGCTGTTTGATCTGACTGTGCCTACAACTATATGTAGGCTGTCACAACATGTCAAAATGAAAAAAAGCAGTAACCACCCCACAACAGGGGTGTCAAAGATTCAGCTCACAGAGCCCTTTCATCCAGCCCATGGTGAAGCCATGGGTGTTGGAGTGGACCCACACACAGCATATGGCTGTGTGTATTTTGTCTCCACCCACTTATCTATCGCCAAGACTGAGTAGCAGGCTACAGAATGGCATTCAGAAGGGCTGCCTTGGATGGGACAGACTGGTGCAAAATGTCCACTGGTGAACCCACAGGCATGCATTCACAACAAAAAGACTTAAAGAATCTGATGAAGACAGGAAGAAATGAAATTCTCGCTTGACTGGAAATATAGACAAATTCAATTGATGGCTATAGTTCCCTGGGCCAGAATAGCGAAATTGGGAATACAAATGCGGAATTCCCCTGTGGCCAGTTAAGAAAGCTAGTGGAATCATGTCGGCACCACATAAAATAATTTCCTTTGGGAGTTAGAGAATGACAACCTAAAACACTGGAACAAGGGGGTAGAATCTACTTCACCCTTGGTGCCAGCGTGAGAACTCAAGAAGATAGAATAAAGTGTCCTTTAAAGAGAGAAGAGACAGTATTACATGATGGATCAGAAGTTGGGCTGAAGTCAGTTGTGGAGGGGCTGAAATTCCAGATGACAGTGGTACTAGAGGTGCTGTAGTTCACAAATGGAGGTGGAATTAGGCATGGCAGTCTGAATCATGATGCTGGACCACACAGAGAAGGAAGACAATGTTAATTCTGACTACCTTTTGTATGTCTTAGGATGACTGGCTCCAGTGGGGTAATCATCTCAGCTTTGACAGGTATTGGTGGAACCAGGGACTCCAAGACGTGTGTTCAATGAACTTCATCAACAGCTCTATTTGAACAGACATGATCAAGGCCATGAGGTGAGGCAAGGATAGGCAGCCACAATGCTCCACAAACATCTCTCAAATTCCTACAAAATCAGGTGCCACTGGCTCTGTATGACCCAATTTTTCCCTCACTAGCACATATGATTCCAAAGGCAAGATGGTGCCTTGTGACTTGCTCTTTTTCTCTAGCTGGTGATGAGCCCTGGCCTGCCTGCAGGTAAGCAGGGGCCTGTGGTGGGTGGGACTAGCCAACGTAGCCAGCTGGGAGCTGGCTGAGTTGGAGGCGGGGAGAGTCATGCCCCCCCAGCTCCTACTTCGCCCAGCCCCCCAAGGAGCTGCGCGACCGGAGCCCCGTGAACAGGCTGCGCAAACAGGCGCGCTCCTGGGCCTGGCGCACAAGTTAGCATGGGAGTTTGTGTAGGAGGGTGTGCAGGAAAGCCCGAGGCCCTGCCTGTGAGCCCCCTAGGGTAGGCAGTTCCAGCCGCAGCCAGCCTACCAGTGACATGCTGTGGATGGGCATGCGCTGCACCCCGAGAGTCCCCTCGGGGTCTGCGGCCCCCCCACTCTGGTGCCTCGGAGGCCTCCACCCAGATGGAGCCCATGGTTCCAGGCTCCACGCAGATGGAGCCCCCGGCTCTTGGCTGCCTGTAACTTTTTCAGGCTCTGGGGCCTGGGAGCATGGCCACATCCCCTTGTGAGGTCTGCTCCCTCGGAGTCTCTGGCGCACCAGCTGGAGAAGCTCTAGGCTGCAGTCCAGAGACTGTGTGCCATCAGGGACTGTGAGTAGGAGATTGACTCCTATTACCAGGCCCTTCTACCCTGGGAGGCAGAGGGTAGACCACGGTCTCCCTCCAGGACAAGGGAGGACTTGGGGACCTCCCATTCTGTCCAGGCAAGGGGTTGGACCAAGGTGGTCAAGGACGCCAAGGCCCACCACACCAAGGTCCCTGCCCCGCTGGAGCTTTGCAACAGGTACGAACCTCTTGCAGCCCCAGCAGAGCCTACTAAGATGCCAGCTCCCGCAGGCAACACAGGCTCTACTGTAGCTACCACCCCCGCTCTCCCTAAGACAAAATGCAAAGTGTTTGTCATGGGAGACTCCATCCTGAGGGGGACTGAGGGGACAATCTGCCGTCCTGACCCCTTAGCCCGGGAAGTCTGTTGCTTCCTGGGAGCCCAAATCTGAGACATTGCGGAGAAGATCCCTGAACTCCTCCAGTCCTCTGACCACTACCCTATGCTCCTTATCCATGTGGGCACAAATGACATGGCTCAGAGTGCTCCCAGCTGGGTCATGAAGCACTACAGGGATTTGGGAGCAGGGCTTAAGGGGTTGGAGACACAGGTGGTGTTCTCATCGATCCTCCCAGTCTTGGGCTATGGGCTGAGGAGGGAGAGGAGGATCCAAGTAGTGAACCAAAGACTGTGACACTGGTGTCATTGGGAAGGCTTTGGCTTCCATGACCACACTCCACTCTTTGGAGAGAGAGGCAGTGAGCTGCTGGGAAGGGACAGCCTCCACCTCTCTCCACTGGGGAGGAAGCTCTTCTCAGCCAGACTGGCTGACCTGCTCCATCGGGCTTTAAACTAAGCCCGCTGGGGGATGTGGGGACTACCACCACTGCTGACCCACTGAGCAACCCTTTCAAAGCCAGCAGGCCAGGGCAATTAAGGGATCCCACCCCTGCCTCAGCCCTGGAACGAACTGTAGGCAGGGTAAGGACCCCCAAGGGTCCTTGCATGCCTGTACATGAATGCCAGAAGCTTGGGGAATAAACAGGAAGAACTTGTCCTCTTGCTAAACACAAATAATTATGATGTCACAGGGATAACAGAGACCTGGTGGGATGTCACCCATGACTGGGCCACGGGTATAGACGGCTATACCCTGTATAGGAGAGACAGAGTGGACAAAAGGGCCGTGGGTGTAGCTCTCTATGTCAAGGAAAGCTATGCGTACCTGCAAGCCGACATTGGCACCCAGGGTGAATGATTTGAGACCCTCTGGGTTAAAATCTGTGGGGAACACGGCTCAGGGGACACAATGATGGGAGTCTATTACAGACCCCCCACCCAGGATCAAGACCTCGACCAGGAGTTTGCCAGGGAGTTGGCTGAGGCCACACGCTCCCCATGCATGGTTGTCATGGGAGACTTCAACTACCCAGACATCGCGTGGGAAGAGCGCTCGGCCAAATCCGAGTGATCGCAAAGCTCTCTCTCATGCGTGGATGAGCTCTATCTGACATAAGAAGTCTATGGGCCGACGAGAGGTAAAGTGTTGCTCGATCTGGTACTGGCAACCGGAAACGACCTAATCAGTGACCTAATGATCGAAGGGAAGCTGGGTGACAGTGACCAAGAGCTGATCACCTTCACTATCTGACGTAAAGCTGGCAAGTCAGTCAGTAATACAGAAGTCCTTGACTTCAGGAAAGCCGACTTCGACAAGCTAAGGAGGCTTGTCAGAGAGGCCCTCAAGGGCCACAACCCAAAGGAGAGGGGAGTCCAGGACGAGTGGTTGCTCCTAAAGGGAGCAATCCTGGATGTGCAAGCAAAGTCTATCCCATCTTGGAGGAAAGGCAGCAAAAGGGCACAGCAGCCCCCCTGGCTCTCCAGGGAACTAGCGGACCTCCTGCATCTTAAAAGAAAGACCTACAAAGGATGGAGGACTGGATCCGCCACCAAGGAGGAATACTCTGCACTGGTCGGACCTGCAGAGACCAAACTAGGAAAGCCAAGGCTGCGATGAAACTCCAGCTAGCTACAAATATCGAGGACAATAAAAAGTCCTTTTTTAGATATGTGGGGAGCCAGAGGAAAAGCCAGGGCAACATTGGACCCCTACTAAACCAGATGGGACAACTGACAGGAAAAAGCAAACCCCAGGAAAAAGCGATGCTCAGGAAAAAGCAAACTTGCTTAATGGGTACTTTGCATCAGTTTTCCACTAGTCCCATGGGATGCCCCTGCCCACTACAGGATAGGGAGGCCTGGGGGAGGGAGATTCCTTACCCTCCATCACAGCTGACCTCGTGAAGGAACACCTTGACAGGCTGGAAACCTTCAAGTCAGCTGGCCCTGACGGTTTACACCTAAGGGTACTTAAAGAGCTGGCAAGCATCATAGCTCAGCCCCTGACTTGGATCTTTGAGAACTCCTGGTGCTCTGGTGAAGTGCCCAAAGATTGGAAGAAGGCCAATGTGGTGCCTACCTTCAAGAAAGGGAGAAAAGTGGATCCAGCAAACTACAGGCCCATCAGCCTGACATCTGTCCTGGGGAAGGTCTTGGAAAAGATTATCAAAGAGGCCATCCTTAACAGATTGGCTGACGGCAACATCCTGAGGGACAGCCAGCACGGGTTTGTTGCGGGTAGGTCTTGCTTGACCAATCTCATTTCCTTTTACGACCAGGTGACCTGTCACCTGGACAAGGGGGAAGAGATTGATGTCACATATCTTGACTTCAAAAAAGCCTTCAATCTGGTATCCCATGATTACCTGTTGGCAAAACTGGCTAACTGCGGCCTCGGCCTCACCACGATCTGCTGGCTGGGTAACTGGCTCTGCAGTAGGACCCAGAGGGTGGTGGTGGACGGAAGTCAATCATTGTGGAGCGTTGTGACCAGTGGGGTCCCTCAAGGCTCTGTCCTAGGGCCTATACTGTTTAACATCTTCATCAATGATGTGGACATTGGTGTCAGAAGCAGACTGGACAAGTTTGCCGATGACACCAAACTCTGGGGTAAAGCACCCACACCTGAGGACAGGAGGGTGATCCAGGCAGCCCTTGACAGGCTCAGGAAATGGGCAAAAAATGCAAGGTTCTCCACCTTGGGAGGAAAAACCTGCAGCATGCTTATAGGCTTGGCAGTGCTACGTTGGTTAGCACTACAGACGAAAGGGATTTGGGGGTCATGATTGACCACAAGATGAACATGAGCCTTCCATATGATGCTACAGCTAGTAAAACAAGCAAAACGCTGGCTTGCATCCATAGGTGCTTCTCAAGCAACTCCCAGGATGTCATTCTCCCATTGTACTCGGCCTTGGTGAGGTCGCAGCTGGAGTACTGTGTCCAGTTTTGGGCTCCAGGCTTCACAATTCAAAAAGGATGTGGAGAAGCTTGAGA